TCTGGCAGCCTTTTACCCGAGTTGGGTTGGGCGCTGGAGATGCTCTTAGGGTTTGCTTTAAGATGAAATAAAAAAAACAGCCATACACTACATAAACAAATAGAAACACATTTATACATACTAGTATACTACACAACAGTTTACTTTCTTTCGTTTCATTTTATTTGATCAAACATGGCATCTAGCAAATAAGAAGCCCACATCCCAGAAAGAGGTCAATGCAAAAAAAAAATTGATCCATGACCAATTTTAATGAAAACTTTGTCAGGATGCGAAAAAAGAAGGGGGTTTCACTAAAACACCCAAAATGGGGGCTGAAATTATAAAAAAAACCCAACACCCAAAACACTTTATAAACACACCAAAAACCCATCATTACACACACTCAAAACCCATTTATAAACAAACCCAAAAAATATACAATTGTTGATTTTGGGATTGATTTTGGGTGTGTTTCTATATTTAAATAGTGTGAGGATTTTTTTATAAATACATGTCTAGGATTGAGTTTATTTATACATTTGTAAAAAAAGAAAGGCCATATTCATTAATTTGAGAATTTGAAGACTAGAATGAGAATGTTTTAAAACTTTAGGGACCACTTGGGATAAAACTTGTTTCTTATTTATTCCGAATAGTTTTGAAAGGCTAAAAAATGCGAAGTAAAATTTGAAGGGTTCATAACGGTCGTGCTTCAGCCGCTAAATTACGACGACAGCCCAAAGCCACAGGAACCCAACCCAAACCCAACCAGCAACCCAAGCCAGCCAGCCAGCCAGCCATGGCATGCACGATACCTCTCTCTCTTTCCTCCTCCTCTTCTTCTTTTCTACTCTCCCACACAACCATTTTCCGTTTCAGAAGCCCCAGACATCTTTCGACCTCCTCCTCACGAAGACGACTCTCAGTCTCAGTCTCTGCTTCGTCTTCTTCTTCTCTCCAAGCTCTGATTTTCGACTGCGATGGGGTAATCCTCGAGTCTGAGCACTTGCACCGCCAAGCTTACAACGAGGCCTTCGCGCACTTCAATGTTCGTTGCTCTTCCTCTGCCTCTCAGCCCCTCAATTGGGACCTCCACTTCTACGATCAGCTCCAGAACCAAATCGGCGGTGGAAAACCCAAAATGCGATGGTCCCTTTCTCTCTCCTCTTTTTTTCTCTTCTAGATTTTCTAAAAAGATTTCAAATTTGGGTTTTTTTTTTTTCTTTAGTTAAATTGGGGTTTTTGGATTGTTTTAGGTACTTTAAGGAGCATGGGTGGCCGTCATCCACGATCTTCGAGAAGCCTCCGGAAGATGATGAGGGCCGGGCCAAGATCATCGATACTCTTCAGGTTTTTAATTTGCTTCTTCCGGTTGTTTGGCTTCTGAGAAAATGAAAGAAAAGTATATCATTTTGCAAATTGAGTGTCAATGTATTTTTACCCCATTTTCAGTTGCTAAAATCTTGCGACTATTTGATTTTAAACTAATTAGAAAATTTTCAGCTTATCTTAGAAAATCACACTGTCACTGCACAGAGGTTGCAGTGCTTGAGATATATCTTTTCTTCATCAATGTTTTGAAATTTTGGGCATAGATTGGTTGAATGCCGTGTACTTTTTTCATAGTATGTTGATCCTTTTATGGTCTTGTAGGATTGGAAAACTGAAAGGTACAAAGAAATTATGAAATCCGGAACTGTAAGGAGACATTTATACTTGCTGCATTGTTGTTTTCTTTATTTTCTGATCAGTTATGTTGAATAGATTGTTCTGTATTCTTTTGTGTTTTTCTTTTGTACCAGGTGGAACCAAGACCAGGAGTTTTAAGATTAATGGACGAGGCTAAGGCTGCTGTAAGCTAATATTTCCCTTGAAAATTCAATTTCTTTTCACGGTACTTTAAGTCCACCTAATTTATATGTATTTCCTTGATCAACAGCTTAGTTTTATGAGCATCTCTTTACATCTTATCTATGGATTTCTTTATGATTTGTTTCTCTTCCACTTTGTTTAGTATCTGTTCTGTTGCATTGTAGTGCAATTTTTATGCTTGTAAGAGTGATTCACTCTCTATTGTTGCAGGGGAAAAGGCTTGCTGTTTGCTCTGCAGCAACTAAAAGTTCAGTAATATTATGTCTTGAGAACCTTATAGGAATTGTAAGCTTTTTTCTCTGACATTGTTATTACAGTTAACTCATATTTGCTTCTTTGTTTCTACAACATGATCTCATCAATTTATTCTACCTTATTGTAGGAGCGCTTTCAAGGTCTTGATTGCTTCCTTGCTGGTATGTTGATTGCTTTTGAATTGGAACATCCTTATATAATTTGTTTTGGTTGAATCTTGCGTGAGACACATTGTATCTGCTTCTGCTATGTGCATAGGAGCATTTCAATTACGCATCAGTGACATGGATTAATTTTCACTCCCTCCATTGTATGATAATTTATAGTGCATCGATGCCCAAGAGCTTCTATAAATCCCATTCTGTTTATGGATAAATTTAACTGCAAGTCAAGTCTTTCCCTCCATTTCTTATTGTTATTGTTCTGGTCCTTTTCATTTGTTTTAGTATTATTAAAAATTTCTACTTGATCGAATCAGATTGAACTGGTTTTGTTTTTTTTCAAAGAAAAATTAGACGTTTTAATTCATATTTCTCTGAATTTTGTTTACAGGTGATGATGTGAAGCAAAAGAAGCCCGATCCTTCAATTTATCTTACAGCTTCCAAGGTCAGTAATCTAACGTCTTAAATCTGAACCTGAAAATGTGAATGCAGTTTTACCATCAAAACCGTAACTTGTTATGCCTTACAGAAACTCGGTATCCCAGAGAAAGATTGTTTGGTTGTGGAGGACAGTGTTATTGGGCTGCAGGTAAATCTTTGTTTTTGGTTTTCTTTTTCTGTAGTAATCAGTTCCTTTAAGCGTTGTATTTGAAGAGGAAGATTGGAACATTGGAGGCCATGGAATAATATTTCATGAATCAAATTGGCTTATGATTAAACAATAGTAAGAATTACTGATGCACAGAAAACTTCAGACAATAAATCCAATTCATCTATTTTGTCATTACCCAATAAATCCAATTAACTAAACATGGTTTACTTATTATGAGAATGAAAATTTGTCTCTGTAGGCAGCAACAAAAGCTGGGATGTCATGTGTGATCACCTACACATCTTCAACAGCTGACCAGGTGAGGCCTCTTTCTCTGTAGCAATCTTAGATGAAGGATTTCATTGAGATGATCTACAATAGCTGGCAATTGACAGCCAGATAACTGCATTTTGTGATGATTGAGCCTTTTCTATTTTCATATTCAATTAGGATTTTAAAGATGCAATAGCAATCTATCCTGACTTAAGCAATATAAGGTATGTGTGAACCATTTTCTTCACGAGCGTATAAATTCTTTTCGTTAAACTGTTCGGTGTGCTTACATACGGTTCATACAATCCTTGCAGACTGAAAGACTTGGAATTATTACTTCAAAATGCTGTCATTGCCAATTAAGAAAGTTCTTGCACTTGGATTATTAAGGAGTGACCATCTGCCATTGTCTTTTTGTTGAATTTTTCATTCACAAACGGCTCATATGATGGATTCATTAACAGCTTACATGTACATATGTAAAATAACAAACATTTCTACCATAAAAAGCTAAGGCTCTCTCTCACATGGACGAATCAAATTATTGATTTGGTTACCGGTTTTTCTTCTTGTAGCAATCGTATGCCTTCTGTAACAAATTAAAAGGATGCACTCTCTTTCTTATCCATCAATCTCTTTGTGATGGATGTGATGTAGAACCAAAGCAGTACTTTACAGGCAAGAGAAATGGAGAGGAGCTAGAAAATAAAGAGAATAGAAGACAAGTATGAGCAATTTAGCTTAATCACCAGCTCTTTAGAGTCACTATAAAAAATAGGCTTATTTATTGAAATACTCACGTTGTTTCCAAATCATCTCAATTTGCCCTCTGAAGTTTAAATGACTCAATTTTTTCCTTGAACTTCCATTTTGTGACCAAGGTTGCCCTCATTTCGTTAGTTTTAAGATAAAAATCGTTAAATACATTATGTGACATGGGTATTTTGATAATTTTAACTATTAAATATTAAAAATGTTTGAAATGATTCAAAATCAAATATGTAAAATAATAAAATAACATAATTTTTTTTAAATAAATAAATTAATTAACACATCCCCAAAGTTCTGCATCATCTTCTTCGACTCAATCGCACCACCACCCCACTGTACACCCTAACCACATCAGTAGCCGCCCACAACCACCAACACTTACCCCTGCCATGCGAGATCTAGTCGCCCCACCCTTCATCAAAACCACAACCCAGCCACAGCTTCCTTACGAGATCCATTCAACCAATCTAACAAATATAAAAATGAACATCGATATGAAGAAAGTGGATGTGAAAAAGATTTTGGCTTTTCCAACTGGGTTTGTGTGGACAGTGGGAATTTACTTTTAAACATTTAAAATAATTTCTCCAAGGAAAAAATATTTATTTTAAAACTACTCATGTTAAGTCAGCCGGAATTAACTATTTTCATCTTAAAATTATTGGAATGGGGCAACTTTGGTCATAGTATGGAAGTTTATGAGGGAGATTGAGTCATTTAAAACGTCAAGGGGCAAACTGAGACAATTTGGAAACAACGTAGGGTATTTCAACAAATAAGCTTAAAAAATAAATACGTGTAACGATAACATCATGCGATATGCTTATGATGAGTGTACACAAATTATAACAGTGTATTGAGTTTAGTGTTCAAATTTTAAAGTTTGTAATTTATATATTAATGACTGTACACTTGTTAGAGTAAGGGGAATTCAAGAAATTAGGTTGGCATGTCACCTACTGTATAAGTTTTTATTTATGATTGATATTTTCTAATACTTGACTAATTTGATCCAGACCATACATGTCACCCAACCTGCCACATGAGAGGAAAGTATCCACTGGATTTTTTTGCAGTTCGTACTGGAGTGCTTGACATTCAACACAGTTGTTTATTTATACGATGGAAGAGATTATAAATTTCAAACCCCCTAAAGAAACAACTGAAATCCAAACCAAAGATAGACATAAAAACAAAACAATAGTGATCCTGCATGAAAATAAGATAAACCCTCATTTTACAAGTCATTCACCATATTGAAGATCCTTAATCAATCTGTCAAAATTATTGTACGATGATCCTCCAACATCAGTCGCTTCTACAGCTTTTTTCTTCCACTCCTTAGCCTTTTCCCTCATCTTCATCCCCTTTTCCCCTTCCAGCATTTCCTTAACAAGTGCTTCAATTTCATCGCGCTTCACATCGGGGCTCACCTCCATTCCAATCTCCCAATCAGTGCATGCGTATCGACAATTCGTTTGCTGCTCAGAAAAGAAAGGCCAGCAAATCACAGGCACCCCTTCAGATATAGTTTCAATAGTAGAATTCCAACCAATGTGTGTTACGAAAGCCCCAACAGATGGATGAGCTAGCACTTGGTCCTGTGGACACCAACTGGTTATATAACCCCTATCCTTAATCTCCACAAAAAATTCATCGGATAAAATTACCAAGTCACCCTTCACCACATCAGGCCTAACAATCCACAAAAATGGGTGCTTGCTATTTGCAAGCCCCCATGCAAATTCTTTCAGATGTTCGGCTGTCATCATAGTTATGCTGCCATAATTAACATACACCACTGAATTTGGTTTCTTTTTGTCAAGCCATTCTAGGCATTTTGTGTCTTCTTTCCATAAACTTGAGGTAACTGAATTTGTCAATTTTCTTTCAGGAAAATGGCGGCCAAGCAACTTAAGGGGGCCAATGGTGTAAATTTTAGGGGAGATGGTTGATAATCCCTCTAACACTTCATGTTCAAATTCGTCAAATGTGTTGAAGATGATTGCAGAAGAGTTCAGACAGTTTTGTGCTTCGGAACTCATGAAATCAAACATTATGTCATTGACATCGGTCACTCTAATGAAGGTAGGGATGTCCTTGAGACGAACATTTTTCATGCCTGGGATCCAATCAATTGGTGTATTGAGCGTACCATCGTGCATAAAATTTTCATCTGACATGCAAGGTTAGGTGAAATGTGTGATTAGATACTGTTGGTGAGGTTCGGAACAAAAAAAGAAGCACAAATTTGATTTTGTTCCCTTTAGTAAATTATGTAGTTTCAATTTTTCACAATTTATCTCATATAATTTATTCAATTTTTGCTATTTGATTCATATAATTTATCAATTGTTCCAGTTCATAGGGAATATATAGCTTAAGCTCCATCAAAAAAATTGACGGAAGAAACACGTAAGTGACATAAGTACGTACCTTTGAATGGAACAATCCCTCGTTTGACAAGTTCACCATACTGCAAGTACGCCATGAAGCCACAAGCAGAGGCTGTCCAAAATTGAACCTCTGGAATGCCTAACTCCTTTGCAGCTTTGCTCCCAAAGCCCATGAGACCATCTGTAACAATGCAAGTAACTGGTGGAGCTTCAGAAGATGAGTTATTAAGTTTAATTATCAGCTCCTTAAATGGACCTAGGCAGGTTTTCCTAGTGGAGTCACATAAAGCTGGAATATCTTGGGTTGCATCTTTGTCCGAAGGAGGCAGCCCGTCCGGTATGGTCTCAAACCGGAAGTTGGATAGGCCCTTGACAGAGTCCGGTCCTTTAGACCGGACTAAGCGCATGTGGTTGAACTCAGTATTGACAAAGGTAATCTGGAAGTCCCTTGAGTGTAGAAGCTTGGCTAATTGCATCATGGGACTAACATGGCCTTGTGCAGGGTAAGGGACAAAAACTGCATGGAGTTTTTGGGATCCTAGTCTTGTTGAGCCCATTTCTTTACTAATATAGGCAAGACTTTAACTTGGCTCCGAAACCTAGCTTTGCTTTTATGGCATTTATAGAAAATATATGGCAACAACCTACTTTTCCGAGGGTAGATGGTATTATGGCACCCATCCTTCATAATTTGTGGTTTGTAACGACAGTTCAAGCTTGCCTTTGGTAGGAGTGTAGGTGTGGAAAGAGGGTAGACGTATAAAAGAAAATGAGGACTTTTAATCTGGTTTTTTCGACTGAGAGGATTGAGTTGGTTTTAATCCTTGAACATTTTAGAACTTAATTACCATAGATAGATGTCTTTATGAATTTCCATGCTGTGTCTACGACATTACAAGAAATTAGAAACACATATTAACATATATATCTTGACCATGGAGTTTTATAGGCTGCAAATAATGTAGTTTTGGTTCGTATTTTATTGCTCATGTATTCTTGTTTAAGAGTCATTGAGATAAGTAGAGGGTTTATAGCTCAAGTGATTAAGAACAGCTAATTTCTCCATTCAAGAATTCTCTTTTTTTTAATGTCCCTTGTATCAGAAAAGAGTCTTACTGTAGTAAAAGGGGAAAATTTAAGATCATTTATATTGGGAACAAGCACGTATAGAAAGCATGTAAATTATTGATGTGTCACTTTCTTTTCCAACGACACCACTATCCAAGAAATCAATGACAACCACATTTTGAGATCCCACTTCTGATTAGTATTTTAGTTCTTGTTTAAGTGCCATTGGGGTTGGGTGGGAAAGCTTTTAGATCCTTGAAGTCTCTATTGTTTGGTCCTTTCTATTTTTCTTCGCGGACCCATTCAGGTACAAGAGGGGTCACATGACCCCATTCCAAAAATGTGGCTGTGGAATGCACACAAGATGCTCGACGAAAGGCCAGAAAGGCCTGCGCGCAGAGAAAAAAAACAAACAAAAAACAAAAAACAAAAAATAAAAAACAAAAAAACAAAAACAAAAACAAAAACAAAAACTTCAATAGAAGAGAAGTTGAAGCACGCAGCTGAGAAAGCAGCCTTTGCTGCAACAACCCAAAAAAAAAAAAAAAAAAAAAAAAAAAAAAAAAAAAAAAAAAAAAAAAAAAAAAAAAAAAAAAAAAACACAAAAAAAAAAAAAAAGAGAACCACCGCGAAGAAAAAACGCTTTTTTGCCAAAAAAACAAAAAAAAAAAAAAAAAAAAAAAAAAAAAACTTA